ATAAAGTTAGCTAACAGGGGCTTGCTCCCGGTTTCTAATATTTTATTTTAATCATTTACAGTATCAATAAAAAAGAAATTTTATCTTATTACCGCATCTGATTTTTTCTTAAAAAAAATAATTATTACATACGTTGTTTTTATTATTTGTGTATATATTTTTGTTTTAAAAAATAAATAATTATAGGTTTACACACCGGGGCCAACCCCCTGTGAAATATCTTAATTTCTCACTACCGAAACAATCTGTTCTTAAAATTATCTTTATTTAATATAAACACCAAATATAATTATAATCCTTTTTTTTTTAAAGAGATGGTATTTTTATTTCATGTGTTAAAAACAATAAGTTCTGCTTCATAATTCCCAGGAATAAAAAGTCAAGTTCTCATTAGAAAAAAAATCTCTTTTTTTGGGAGGAGGGGGGGAGGGGGGGGGGGGGGCTGGGTCCACAGGTATAAAAGAATGTTTAGTTTTCAAAGTTTAACTAAAAAATATTTAGTTTTCAAAATTTGACTTTTACATCATGAATGATTTGAATTAATTCGTTATTGTTTTTTATAATGCGGCGGTAAGTATCTGTCAAAATCTAGTCGGTCTTCAATCATTGTTATTTCAAAATCGATTTTCAGAAGAACAGCCGATCAGATTAAACATGACATCCGACCGGATTTATACACATTGGGAAACGGGGTAAGATTAACAGTGTACAGTACCGACTGGTTAAACAATAGACCTTAATTAGGTGTCCACCGTCCCCGGTCAACTAACAGGAAACTATACACATGATACATACACAACGTACACTAACAGATTTTGATGATCAATTATTTTGACAAACTTCAAATTTAATGCAAGCATATAACAAATTAAAAATTATGATTCATTGTAAAATGACAATTATTTTGATACCCATTATGATACAAAAAGAATTTTAACTGAATATGATATTCGAAAAAAAGTTTTTGTAAACATAACCAGGTAACTCGTAAAAGAGGATTGTCACTAGGCCTAAATCTTAGACACGTAAACCGATAATATCCGCAGAATATTTTATTATTTAAAAAAAATTCATCTGTCTTTCCCGATGATAGATTTTTTTGTGTTTTATCTATAATTAATTTAATTTCAATCCTGATTTCATGCTTACACGTATTAATCTCTAAATAACAGAGCGAATTCATTACAATTTAAAAGCCGAACTCAACGGTTTAGAAATATTAATGTGATATAAGCTTTTCAAAAAGATCCATATATAAAAATGTTTATAGCTTGATTAATAAATCAATTCAAGACTTTGGAGACGTTCAGCAAAATAAATACTTTTACAAGTCCAAAACAAACTTTGTGCAAAAAAAAATGTTTTATATTTTTCTTCATAGAGTGGAATTAGCCCATTGGTTAAGGTGTCTGCCATCTACTCGAAGGGTCATGAGTTCGCGCCCCGTGTGTGGTGTTTTTTTTTTCTAATTTTGAATTTCGTTCTTTTACTTCTTTTCACCAAGTCAAGATAAGTGTGAACTCAACATTTATGATTTGTGATGACAAATCACTACAATAATATTTTTTCACCCGTACAACAGTAATATCGACTGCGTAATGGTGGCTTAGTGGTGGCTTAATGGTAGCTTAATGGTAGCTTAATGGAGTTTGGACATTAAGCACCTGTAAGTCTAGCTTAATGGCGGCTTAATGGTGACTTAATGGTGGTCTATAAGTTACCATTAAGGACCTGTAAGCCACCATTAAGCCACCATAAAGCTACCATTAAGCTACATTTAATCACCCATTAAGGATTTTTAGATGGCTTAATGGTAACTTAATGGTGGTGTAAATGTTACTTAAAGGCGCTTAATAGTGACTTAATGGTGACTTAAAGACAACCATTAAACCACCATTAAGGACCTATAAGCCACCATTAAGCCAAGCTTAAAGGGTGTATTTCATCTTGTGAAAGTTTTGATAAACCCAGGCTACAATGGACCGGAGGTAAAGAAGCCAAAAAAATAAGCAAACGACGGGCGCATGTGCCAGTGAGATGAAACCCCAACCTAAAGTTGACAGCTTAAAGATCCAAATTGCCCGACCATTTCTTTTTCAGTTTTATGGTGAATGTAATGATTATGATAATACATGTATACTCTTTTTATAAAAGTTTTGATGTAGTGCAGTGGCGATTAAACAGGTGGCATGACGAATAACCCGATCTTGACGAGGCTCTGTTACGCCTTAACGTCATCGTCACGGTTGATCGAAAATCATTCAAAGCGCTCTCTGAAGACGTTTAAGACGTTTTATGGGGGAAATTTACAAGCGACTGCAAAGCAAGCTGCTGTTGCCTTTGTCCTTACTTTGGCAATCTAAAGCCAGACCCCATGGAACTTTCGTCAACTATTACAAGATTGCAAGAAATGCTACTGAAAATCAATTTGTATACGTCAAGTGCATCACATGGTACAAAACGATGGTTGAAAAACTTGTCGAATCAAGTTGCACATGTTTTTCCTTTTAAGCACTTTTCCAAGGTGACGTCACACAGTTCACTGTTGAGTAATTCTGAACACTGATTTTAGTTCATAATGAACAAGATTCTCATCTTATTAATTTTCGTAATTTTTGGTCACCCGGTAAATTTTTTTTTTCGCATATTATGTAACCCTGAATTTCTTTTTCCTTTCAGTATAATAAAGATATAGTCCTCTAACGTCCTTTATGTTTTGAAAGTGTTGTTAAAATGTCAAATTTGAAAATTTCAAAATCTAAAGACATGTTGACTTTAAATTGCTTAATATGTCCAGTAGAAAGTAAATGATAACAATGAAAATGATTTTTATTTTAAATGTTTGATATTTAATTATCACATATAGATCCTAATCAAGGTAAAGTGAAAATCATTCAATATAGCATTAACTTTCTTTAAAGATTTAATTAAACATTAGTCGGAGAAAACTTTTATAAATGGCCTTTATACTTAAAACTGTATACGATTCTAGAAAAGAAAGTGTCCGCCATTTTCGATCGAACTCTCATAATATCTATAGATCTTTATATAAAGGGTCTGAATTTGTGTTTGTTCAGTGTAATCAGCTGTCGTCACCGGTGTAAACGGACATAAGACATACTGTACTCCGTAGCGACAAAACTAACTTCAATACGTTTTCTGAAGCTGGAGCGTAAGTTACAAAAAAAAAATATATACAAACAATCCCACATACACGTAAATCTAATAATATGTGAGCAAATGTAATTCAAGTTTACACGAATACGAGTCGTCATTCCAGGCTGATACTCTTGACAAGAAAGTGTGTATAAATAAAATGCTTATCGAATGCAAAAAGTATACCCTAGTGCTGACATCGTAGATAATATTATCAAAAATGGCGTATGCCTATTTACGAGTCCTGACGTCATATATGATCACATTCTATTACCCGCTATGAACTAAGGGTGGGTGAAACCCCATAAACCCGTGAAAATTTCATGAACCCTATTTAGCTTTCACAAATTGATTTAACTTGAATTAGTTAAATCCAATTAATTGTGCTTCATTGTACTTCATTCTTTTTGAAATGCGATTCTTTATGCTATGTAAGGGAAAAAAGGTAAAATTATACAATGTCGGAAATTAGGCATTTTTATTTTTTATCTGATTTTGAAAAAAATCTAAAAAAAAACTAATTGATTCACAGGAAAACTTATTAAAAAGTATATACAATAAACAACAGTGATGAAATGAACGTTGCCCACTGGTTGCATGATCTGATCTGATCTCAGACGCTTTACGATCAGGTGGGAGTCTTGATCCTTTTTCACCGTGCTACTATATTAGTGGCAATTAATTTCTTATGCTTTTATAAAGTAGAAAAAATATGAACGATTATAACTTTATACTTTATACCTACTTAACTAAATAAGGTATATTATCATATGATTGAATAATTTCTATATATCAGATTGGAATTGTTTAAAAAAATACTACCACAATTGACCTTCAAGTGAACTTCTATATCAATATCAGGGATTATTGCAGGGCAGTATATTATATAAATGGTGCCTGTTTTGGAGGGTAACAATTGAAATTGACACCCCAAGGGAAACCATTGTCAACCGACGCGTCAGCGGAGGTTGACAATGGTTTTCCGAGGGGGGTCAATTTCAACTGTTACCCTCCAAAACAAACACCATTTATTTTATTATACTGAATGTCTTGTTGATTTAGGATGTCAGAAAAAAAATCGTCTATCGTCTTTACGTTCATGTTTAGCAAGCTTTGAAACTTCCCGCTACTTCGAAAAAGATTTACTGACCTCTTTATTGTTTGTTTAATACTCTAAAAGTCCTTTATCATCTAAAGTTTCATTATTTCTGCACTTGCAAGCATGTTTCGTCTGTCGTTTGTTGTTTTCAAGTAAGCTACATCGGACGCAAGCTTTTATTGACTTTAGATTTATTCTGGTTCTTTCAAACGCGCAACTGACGCTTTTAGAATTCTACGGTGAACCGTACGCGCATAATTTCCACGCATGTGGCATAACCGTTGTGTTGCCCGTTGTCACGTGTGTTGCTATGGCTGAGGGTAATGGAACGGATTGTTAACTGCGTCTTAGCCACTCAGATTTTAGTATTTAACATGAAAGTATAATAAAAGAAATTATTGCAGGTCAATATATTGAATTATTCCTGATCCATTATTTCCTGTTACAATGTATTCTTGTTTAAATTTGTAATTAATAAGACTTATCTATTATTTAAATCAAAAACAGATTTTATCATATATAATAATACAGTTATTGCTGTTTTTAATGCTAATAAGATGATTTAGCCACCTTCGAAGGCTCGCTGTCCAGGCTCATTGAGTATTGTGCTCCTGCTGTTTAAATCACCGCATTGACCTAAAAAAAAAACAGCAATTCCTGTGTATTATGATTTTTTTCTGTAGTACTTAAATTCGCACTTGATGGGTATGTTTTTTTTTATCATGTATCTAATTATATCATAGCTATGGAGAGTACTGTCGACTCCTGTCCCCGTAATCTGGCTGATACCGTGAGAGCTTCTTCAAGACTTGGCTGTGGTCGTGACAAATATGGAAATAATCAGTATATATGTCTCCCTAACAGAGAAAAGACCAAACTGGTAGAACTCTGTCACAATGGAGTCATGGTATTAATAGAAAGAGGTGTGTAGTCATTGTAATATATATTGTCGTTATGCTAACGGAAGGAATATGAAGATGGGAATCTATTCCTTTTATCTAACCAAATTAATGGAACTAATCAAATGCAAAAAAAAGGGTAACCGGGCAATTTTATTGAAAATTGTTACAATATTCGCCGAGCAAATTTACAATGTTAATAATATGAATCATGAATGCCTGTAATCATGTCAGATCTTATACCGTACAAACTTAAGAATCTTTTATTTAAATTTTATTTTATCTATTTAGGCAAATGTTTGGAAACCGCAGAGGGTAAACTTTTTACAAGTAACTGTTCTGGTTTTCTTACTGGATGCCCAGATATTGATTTCAATAGTATGGATATATACAAATGTAAGAAAAATATCTTTCATCATTTTCTTTCAATTGACACCTTACACTCGTTGACACATTATTTTGAAATCGGGTTATGTTTATCTTTCTTATATATTTTAATCAGACCCTGCCTGTCATGGGATTAACAAGCAGTTCCATTGCTATCTAGCTGATCCATCATGTGCAAATACGTAAGTGATTTTTATATATCTATCAAGTTAGGAAATGTAGTTTGTGTTAAATAGTAATTGTAAACATAAATCTTCTTTCACAAATAGCACTTGGACAATGTCTACTGAAAACACAACAGAGATATTTCTCCCTGGAATTACTACAGATTTAGGAATTCATAACACATCAGCAACAAATTTTCAAACAACAGCATACCGAAATAGCACTTGGACTATACATGTATCTACTGAAAACACAACAGAGACATTTCCGCCTGGAATTCCTACAGATTTAGGAATTCATAACACTTCAGCAACGAATTTTCAAACAACAGCAAACCCAGAAAATAGCTCCATACATAAATGGGCAATCTTTGGAAGTCTTGGGGCTGTGGCTGTTACGCTATTTCTTATTTTTGTTCTAATAAAAGTTAGGATGGTGCTCAAAACAAGGCAAAGATTAAAAAATCAGGAGGAGGACTTTTTATGTACGTCTGTTCTTATCTAAAATTTTAAGTTTATATCATAAGCTTGAAGCGTAATACAGTTAGTATAACTGCATGGTAATAGATAATGTATTTATTTGATAAGAGAAATTGTAAACGACATATACATAACATCCTCTATACGAAAATAAAATAAACAAGAAAATGATTGTTTTGTAGATGAAGGAATCAATTTATTGCCAACAGAGGAGGAAAACTTCCAAGGTAATTAGAAATTATAAGATTATTATTTCCTTGTTTAATTCTTAATAGAAAGCCATGAATATCAAGAAAAAAAAATGAGAGAAATAGCAATATGAAAGAAACTACAGTATTTTTTATACATTATTATGATTGCATTGCGATATTTATCATTAATCGAAAATTCTCATATATAATCGGTATTGGTTCTTATTTAATGTCAAAAAATAAAATGTAACAAATAAACTACCTTTGGCTAATTAAAATTAAGGTTATCCGATCCTCAGGTTCTGAAAATCACGCAGAGTAATTGAAAATGCTCACAAAGATGTTTCTAAATTCTCAAAGTAAAATTTATTTACCCACGGTGTTTCTTTAAACTTCATCTTTAAATTTAATCATATTATATAAGGAAAATAAGTAAATCTCAACCAATTTTTTTTTTCAGGAAATGCGATTAGAACTACATAGTGAATTTTTTCTATATGATAATTGATCAAGAAATACATTTAAGGAGTAAAAATCATAGGTTTTAAAGAAAAATTGCATGATTTTTATACTAATTCGGTATTTTCATTTCTCCTACATGTACTTACTTCCATCGTTTCATAATGCATAGTGTATGAAGTGTTTCCTTTCAAGGAAAACACCTTACATCACTTCTAATTTCAAATCTTGCTTATAAACATTGGTAACTAGACTAAATTAAAAGAACTTTGATTTTTTTTTTAAAATATGTAATTTTTACTTTCTTCTATGAGGTACAAATTTCAACTTTTAAATACCGTTTGTTAAAGCTTTAAAGAACATTGAATCATAAGTTTAGGCATAAAATGAAAATTGTTGCATGAAAAAATTTCAATTTCAAGCTTTAATTTAAGACTTTTGAATTAAATTATAAATTAAAGAGTTACCCTTCCTGGCTTAGGATCGGATATTCTTAAAAGGAGTCTATAGATGTCATTTTTTGATTAAAATAAAATAATTTGTAGATATTATTTCGGTCAAATGAAACGTATCGTCATACCCACAGAAGCATACGGTTTCTCGGGAAAATAATTCAATAAATCATAATTTTCACCATCAAAGAAATTAGATATTCATATCCAGATTATTTCACATAATACGAAATTTAAAACATAAAAATGATTCATTCTTATAATATTTATCAATTTTATTTGTAATATAAGTTCAGATTCCATTAGAATCTTACACAAATTACTCTCTAAACCTGTTTTATCTTTAATTATCATTGGTGTTCAAATTGTCTGCAAAATTCTGAAACAGGAATTTTCAACTAAGAGAACTAAATAACAGATAAAACTTTATGTTAATTACCTGAAGATGAATCAGATGAAAATAACATACAATGATCGATATCAGAAAAGCTACAATCAATGATTATCTGTGATTAAGGAATAAAATGATATACCTCTGGCGATCCCTGATATGGGATCAGGTGCCTTAAAGAAGTAATTCACATTCCCCACCTGACATCAGACCAGCCGTGGCCTTATTTATAAATCAGGTAGCCGGAAAACTATGTCGTCAAATAACAAATGAAAAGTATGGGCAATAAAATTTATATAGCCTACTGTAGATTCCTAATTATACTCGAGGAATTAATTTCCGCGTGATTTCTCGAAAATATTACTCGCATTTATTTTTATGGTGCTGAAATCTATGTAAATTATAAATTATCAACCGTTAATGCGCAAATTATAATTCTCACGATTTGACGTTAAAGAGCCAGTTCGCGATAAAAAGTACTCGCGAAAAATAAGGAATATATAGTTTGTCAGTCAAAATACAAAATAGTGATATGTTTTAAATTGAATACTGTTCGTAATCTCCATATCCATGATTTAAATGCTAACAAGTCATTTTTATGATTAAAGGGTATTCATATAGATTGCTTATTTTAGGAAAAGAATCGAGTAAGTGTTCATGAAGGAAATGCGTCATTTTCCCGCCCATTTATCTCTTTTTTTAAGTGTTCGTCCATTAACACTTTTTAATTTTTCATGAACCATAGTCAAAAACAATTAAAAGTGCACTAATCATTCCAAAGTAAAAGGAAACACTTTAGCTCTACTCGTCGTAACGTTTCCTTTCATCCTTCTAGCTGTCTCTTCGTCTGTAATCATTTTTTTTTCAAATGCTACCCCTCCAACAATTTTTGTTTAGTTTCAATACAATGTGATACACAGTAGACTACTTTATGATACATAATTCTCGCTATATATCGGTTTCCAGGAATGTTTTGCTGTGGTGTAGTATTCTGGTATAGTATTAACAGACACTGTTGAGTGTATTAAACATAATTTATTCTGGTCAATAGCATGCAGACATGGTAGTAAATTGTGTATACAGAAAGGGCAGATAATCCCAATTTCCGTTGATAGATAAGTCGTATTAAGATTAAAGAACATGTTCATTACATTCCCCTCACTACAATTAAAGACAGTTTTTTTCGTTTTATTTAATATACAGGTACCGGTCATAGAAATGTGTTTAAATCTTTTAATTGTACATAGCAAAAATTTTGATTTTGTTTTGAACACTTAAAATAAACAAAACAAATAAAAACAATTACTAATATAGCAGAACTTATGTTCTGGTAGCTGCACGGGGATTATTATGCCCCTTAGCACAATGCAAACTGCTGACTAGATGCAAATTACATCAAAAGTCACTTACAGAATTATTTACAATCACTTCACAAGTCAAGTTTCTCAAGTCGTTTAACGATTCGTCCCGATCTGGTTTGCAGTGCATTTTTGTCATTGGCGGGTTTATCGCTTACTTGAGGTAGAGCAGTATTTTCTGTGGTAGGCTCACTGGGACAGCTGTCTTTCAATGGATTGGCCTGCTCAACCGGTTCGTCCTGGTGGTGTTAATTTGTGTTTTTTATTAGGTTTAAACATTTTTTTTTATTTCTCATCAGGAATTCTTTAATTTATGATTCAATAAAAAGTTGCTTGCATAATCTACTTTAATTCCTAAGATGGGCATGCATAAGATATGGATCCAAAACGTTTTGAGTCTCCGGATATGAATAATGGTGCCTACAATATATGTAACTAATAAACTGTATTTTTGTTCAGAAAAGGGCTTTAATAAAAAAATGTTTTGAAAACATTAATTACTGTATTTTAATTGCTTTTATTTTAATTAATGATTTCTTCTTATGCACTTCACATATATATTTTGATCGAAAATCGGCATTATCACATGACATGATCAAGGTCCATGATATCAGCATGTTGCATGTCCTTTTATGTCATCATTCAGACATTCCAAATTATGCATTTTTGATACTTGTGGCACTTATATTTGATTCAACAATTCTAGAATGATACGTGTACTGCCCTATAGCTATCAAATATCCACGAATTTATTTAGTTTGTTTGAACACACCATAAATTAAATAAAGAAATGAAACATGCATGGTATGTGTAGCTTGATTTGGGAGGTGAACACGATTTCTACAGCATCTCCCTTTAATTGCTTTTTACTAGATAAGATTTTGGTTTGTCTGTTTTCTCGACGACAATTCCAGGAGATAAGGACTTTGAACCAGGTGTTTCAATTCTGACTATTGTTTCATTGTTAAGGGGTGATAACTCCTTCACATTTCTTCTCCTGTCATAGTAAAATTTCTGCTTGGCTTTCCGGGCATTAAGGTGTTGCAGTACTTTTCTTCAGTAGATCCTGTGATGCTGGAAGTGTGTTCTTAGGTCTGCGTCCCATCAACAGTTGAGCTGGTGATAGATTAATGTTTTCTAGGGGAGTTGTTCTTTAATCTAGCAGAGCAAGTTGCTTGTCGTCACATTTTGTCCATAGGCTCTTAAGAATTTGTACTGTTTTCTCAGCTTCGCCGATCGAGCTTTGGAAATGAGGGCCGCTTCTTTCATATTCAATCTCACGTTCAGTGCAGGAGGTGTTGAAGTAAAGTTAGCTAAATTGACGTTCATTGTCAAACATGAATTTCCGTTGAAGTCCATGGCATGCAAAAACTGTTTTCATGGCTTCTATATGGCTGTAGTTGTCTCTGATCTGAGTTCTACGGCGTCAATGTATTTTGAGTAGTAGTCCACCACGATCAGGTATTTCTTGCCTCTGAAATCAAACAAGAGTGTATGGTAGATCTGGAGTTGGTGTTGGCATTAGAGGTTCTCTATTTTGCTTTTTTTTATACTCTACACAAGAAGGACAGTTACTTCTTAGGCCTGTTCTATGTCAGCATTCAAGGCTGACCAATGCATGACTTCATTGGCACGACTCTTTGACTTGACTATCCAAAGGTGAGACTTGTATAAGGTTAAGCATCTCTTTCCGCAAGCTGGTTGGGATGACTATTCGACCTCCCTTGTACATAATACTGCCAAGAACTGATAGCTGATCCCTTGAGTCAAAGTACTGTCAAACTTCAAAGGAGAATCATTCTTGTGTCTGGCCATCCTGTTTGAATGGTGCTCATGAGAGTTTCGAGTTCACTTCTTGTTGATCTCTGGATTTCGGAGTATTTCTCAGGTGTTATGGATAACATACAGATTATGTCTGCTATCTCTTTCTCCTCTTCACGGCTTACGTCTAGGTAATTATAAGCCCTCCATAGAGTGTCTGAAATGTACATCATAGTTCCTTTCTGACAACTGCACACTATAGCCTGCATTTCCTTCTAAATGTGTGCGTACTGTTTCTCTGTTTCCATTAGAACCAGAAGCTACTGCACAGCCTTCCTGTATCAAGACTGTTCCGAGTCCGTTTTTAATTGAATCATACTCGATCTCGACCGGTTTATTCACTTCAAATAGAACTAACACTGGTGACATGGTACACACGTCTTTAAATCTCTGTTTATGGTTCCATTGGAATTCCACATCAGACTTGAGATGGATTCTTCAAACAAGTTTGGACTGAATTTTGACAAGAACTGTATAAGTCCAAGGAACCTGCTAACACCCGCCTTGTCACGTGTAGCTGGCATGTTACATGTAAGTATAGCCTTGATTTTATCC